CCACTTTTCACTACTTTTAAAGGAATTATGTTTTTATTTCCCCTTATTTATCCAGATTTTATTATTGTTATCTGAGTATGGCTTGCTTAACCTCTTTACTGGAATCACTGCAGAGCTATCAAGTTTAAATTTCATCATTGTATTAATAAACAAAAACTTTCTAATATCCTTGACTCCCATTCCTTCCATAAAATTAGGATTTTCCTCTCATCACAACAGAATTCTAAAGATCCCACTTTCTAATCTCCTCTTCCTAATTTACCTCACATAGTAAAAAGTAATTTCTTACTCATCATATCACTCTTATTACAAAAAAGAATGTTTTCTATGAAAGTTGGAAAACACATACCCAGTAACCAAATTTTAGTTTTCAACTCCACGGCGACGTGTAAAACCATAAGCAAATCACAGTCTCAGGATTCTTATTTTTATTACCTACAAATAGAACTATCATCTGCCTCATTATTTATACCTAGGACAAATAATTAAGGTATCAAATGTAGTTAAAAATTGGTCAAAGATATTACAGGGCTTATGAAAGAAGAACAGGTGAGTGGTTAAAATGAACTAAAAAGCAGAATAGAACATATTGAGAGAATCAATGAAGTCATTCACTTACTCAACAAACATTTACTGAGTAGATAGTAAAGCATAAGAAAACTTTTCAGCTCAAGAAATAAGTTTTAGGGTGATGAAGCCCAAAGCACAGAGTGATCTGCATTCCCCCAAGCACCATCAAGTGTGGCTCAAACCCGTTCCCCTCATATAAAGAAGTCAAAGACGTCAGATCTAAGGTGTACACACACACACACACACACACACACACACACACATATGCACACGCGTGCACACACACTGAAAACATAGTATTACAGGGAACAATACGTATTACAGAAGACTGAGAGGTAAATTAAGAAAAAGCAAAATATCAAATGCTGAAAAAGGTAGGACAAGGTAAGAAAAGACACAGATCTAACAATGGAACTTGGTCAATCTCAGGGATGATAATGAGGTTAAAATTTTTAATTTCTAACCACTATCTACCTGGAGAAAAGTGGTCTACCTTCATGCAGAAAAAGAACCCTAATAGATACTATAGTCAAACTACAGAGATAGCTGATGCCTGAAGTTTGACTATTTTATTACCTTTCTGTTGAGAAATTAAGACACTGAGAATTAACTAAAAGTCAAAGCTCAGTGATACAGGATGTATACAGAAATAAGGTATTTTTCAATATTAGATGTAATAAGGGAGAGAACTCAGGATAAAGCATAAGGAGGAGAATAAAAGAAAACAAAGTTACAATAAGAAAAAAAGGGAAATAAATGGCAATACCACTGTTGGCCTTAGAACAAAATAAAAATATATTATCCTTTGGCATAAACTGAGGAAATAAAGTGTCCAAACTATGAAATTAGAACAAAAAATAGACGGGAGGGTGGAGGGGAGGGAGAGGGAGGGAGGGTAGACCAGGGGGTAAGGTGTCTGCCTTCCACACAAACAACCCCCAGTCCAATAACTGGCACCACATATTGTCCCTAAACACCAGTAAAAGTGACCCCTGATCACACAGTCAGAAGTAAACTCTGAGCATTGCCAAGTGTGACACAAATCCCCAGGGATAGAGGAAGAAAAAGCCAAACATGGTGATTTGAAGGCAATGGAAAGATTCCAAATATTAATATGTGGGCTGAAATGGAAAAATCAAAAAGAGAAAAGGATTACTATGGAATATTAAGGCTAAAGTATATATTATGTACACTACTGGCAGCAGGTAGAAGGTATAGCTATACCAGCTATTAGGATAATAAACTGATATAACTAGCAAGTAAACAGTTCTAACACACAAACTGATGTAATTAGTAAGCTAGAAATAAAGAGTGGCAATGAACTAGTATAGCAGACTAGGAAATGTGTGAACAATGAAAAATTGAAAATTTAGTAATAGTACTTTTTAGAATAAAATTACTACATACTATGGGCTAATTTGGATGTTTTTCATCAGATTCATGAGCTTTTTAAGCAAAATGCTTTTAGGAAAACTTCCCTGGGATGATATGGTTACCATAGTAACCACAATAGAAGAGTAAATATTACAGTAGTTTTCCTGTATAAGGGAAATGCTCTTCTGACAAAGAATAGAGCTACAGCCAATGGTTGGAGGTAGTACCTTTTAGTAACATGAATGGCACTCCATCTTGCCCTTATAAGAAAAAGAGATCACTACTAATATTAAAATTCTATTTCAAAATACAGATACTTAAAATAAATATATTCCAAATACTATTTTAGTAAAGGCCCTCCCGTTGATCGTCGATTTGCTCAAGCGGGCCCAGTAACGTCTCCATTGGAGACTTTGTTGTTACTGTGTCTGGCATATCGAATACTCTCGGTAGCTTGCGGGGCTCTCCGAGAGGGGCGGAGGAATCGAACTCAGGTCGGCCATGTTGGCCGCTTGTAAGGTGAACGCCCTACCCGCTGTGCTATCGCTCGAGTTGGGGGAAGAAATAAGATTCAAAGTTAGTTTTCCTTACTTCAGAAATATCAGGTCATCAAAATCCTCTTAATTACAACATCTGACATACACAGTTGCAGGAAGTTAACTCAGAAAAATCCCTTTAACTTTTATCAAAATAGAATATCTAGTATTGTAAATGTCATCCATTCATTTTTACTTCCTTTTCTATTGCAAATGTTTATAGATGTTATAATCAAACTACAAAAGCAACAATATAACAACCATACCCATCTGACAGATGCTTAAGTGACTGCTAACCACTGGGCAATGGAATTTAATCAACTAATAAGGAGCATATCAATTATCTTAAGTGTTATAAAACTGCATAAAAATAGTAAAAGCATATGGAATAAGAGACAAGTATGGAGAAGAAATAAGATTCAAAAGCTAGTTTGCTAGTTGCTGGTTATTTAAGTTTATCAAAATAATGTAATTAACAAGAACAAAAGTAAATTCTACTAGTTAAAAACAAATTTACTACACCTCTTATTGAAAATTTCTTTCCCTAACACAGAAAGCCAAAGATACTGAGAGTATGACATTCCATTATTACATGCCATCTCTCTAAAAATGCTAGAGAATATTATATACCAATACAATCTGAAATGTGCCTCCAACTGACATAAGAAATCTTAAATAGATCTATGAAGGTTCCATCAAAATAAAAAAGGTACATAACAAAGTTGAGCAAATGAATATTGCGTATGTATATTTTAAAGTACATCTATAAAACAACCTACAAATGAACTGTACAAGATTATAATCAGTAAGATTTGCAAAATAATTCCTTCTTCACAGGAAAGATTTAAAAAAAATTGATAACTCTCTTAGCCTAAAAAGCGATGGCTCTTAAAGTTATGAAATCCAATACGCAAAAAGTGCCATGAAAAACTAAAGAATTACGTATGGCCCCTCCCTTCATCTATCAAAAAAAAAAAATGAACATGAAACAAGACTTAATATCGATAAACATCACACAAAGCTAACACTTTCATGGGATCAAAACATAACGGTTTTGCTTAAAACAATTACCTGAGGAACTGAAGCACAAATACAAGGATAATTGCTTCCTTTGGGTTTTGCCTGTCAAACACAGGAAATGCTAGTGCCTTATAGTCCCAGTGATAATTAAAACTTAGTCAGACCTAGACTATCAATGACTATTTATTTTAAAATAAACTTGTAAGATGCCATCAAAAATACAAGAAGCAAAAGAAAAAACTTAATTGGATTTCATCAAATTTTAAAACTTTTGTACTTTCCTAAGACACAAAAACAAGAGTGAAGAAAGACAATGGGTGAAAGTATCTGCAAGTCGCATATCTCATTAGGGATTTGTTTCAGACTACAGAAAGAATGCTTACAGCTCAACAATAAAAAGACAGCCTATTTAGAATCTGCATAAAGTATTTGATAGACATTTCTCCAAAGACATGAAAATTATAAGCACATGAAACCATTATCAGAAATTATGGAAAACAAACCATGATAAAATAATACTTTATACTTAAGTTACAAAAATAACTGACAATAATAAAATAACAAGGATGAGTGAAGATATGGAGAAACCAAAACCTTCAAACACTATTGATTGTAACAGTGCCAGAGTTAAAAACACAGGTACCATTGCTACCTACCCAGCAATTGCACCTCTATACCCAAAAGAAATTTTAAAATGTCTTCGCAAAAATGCATTTAATAAATATTCAGTACGGTAGTATTCCTAACGACCAAAAGTAGATACAGTCCACCAATTAATGATTGTATAAACAAAATGTAGTATAGCATGTAGTATTTTTTGTCATAAAAATGAATGATGCATATACTACCATGGTGAGCCTTAAAAATTAAGTGGAAAAAGCCAGGAACAAAGGCTAAACATTGTATTATTCTATTTATATGAAATATCCAAAATGGCCAATCCATACAACTGATATTCTAATTCTTTTATTTTCCTATGATGGAATTCTCTCTTCTCCCTTTACTATTTCCTGAATAAAATCATTTTTTCACTAAAAATATAAAGTAAATATAATTTTCATATTGCAAAACAATTAAGAAGTAGCACAGATATAAAAAATGGCACAGGGCTCTAATCTTCAGTTATGATGGTACAGCAAACAGGACTTGACTTAAGGAAGACTCAAAAAGTGGAAGGCTAAAAAAGCTATATTGGTACTCACAGCTAAAAGTAAAATTTAGCTTAGGAAAAACTTTTTCACTCACAAATATTACCATTTTTGGTCATTAAGAAAAATTTTTTATGAATTCCTAATATTCAGGCATCATGCTACAAAAATTTCCTGGAAACAAAAAGGACCTAGAGATGGATCATCAAAGTATGTGTCAGAAAAAGAAATTACAATACCAAGTTAAAATGAAAAGAAACATAATTTAAGTCATTAATGAAACAAATTAAGTAATATAATGTGTAAATTTAAGTAACATGCAACGTATTTAGTATAAAGAGCATGTACTTACCAAGTATTTAATCCTTCAAAACTTTCACCAATGGTAGACTCCCCTAAATTAAAAAAAAAAATTGTTTAACTTTAGACATTACACCTACTCGAAGAACCCACCCACAAATCCCATGTGTAAGGGATCATTTTGATTTTCATAACATTAAAATCTTATATGTTGTAAATTTAATACATAATATATAACTATTTTCATATTCTTATAAAAATCTAAACTTTACATGGAAAGACTAATGAATTATCAATTGGTAGACTTCACTATACTACAAAAGATGAGCCAATCAGATTTTTTTTCTCATCACAAACCAAGACAACCACATGTTAAAAGTATGAGAAATACTCATAGTTCAAATTTTCTACTAATCACATATGAAGTCAAAGTCCACAATCTGGTATCTACCTCCCCTGCTTTAAGTAGCATTTAGACAATGTAACTATAGCATCTATATATCCAGCTGAAGAAAAAAAAAAACGAAATTCAAAGATGTGTAACAAACTATTATGTTGGGGGAGGGGGGTATTTAAAAAACCACCATATGCTAAGATCTGGAAAAGACCCAAGTGCCTGCAACAGATGACTAGATAAAGAAGCTGTGGTCTAAACAACCAATGCAATCGGAGTGTGTCACGCTAAGTGAAGTGAGTCTAAAATAAGAATCAGCTTATCTTGTTCATATGCAGAGTATAAGAAATAAAGGTATTTGGGGCTGGAGCAATAGCACAGCGGATAGGGCGTTTGCCTTTGCCTTGCAAGCAGTCCACCCGGGTTCGATTCCCAGCATCCCATATGGTCCCCCGTGCACCACCAGGAGTAATTCCTGAGTGCAGAGCCAGGAGTAACCCCTGTGCATCGCTGGGTGTGACCCCCCCCCCAAAAAAAAGAAATTAGAAAATCACCAATGGAAACAAGCATGAAACATGATCAAAAGAATTGGGAACAGGGTGTGGAGGCCCTGGAGGGGTTGCAGGGGGGAGGAGGAGCTGTGGGGAAACAGTAGAGAGATCTGACACGGTGTGGAGGGATAGGTGAGCAGCACAAGTAAAGCAATGACTTCAACACTATTGCAAACTATGATATGTCCATTAAAAAAAATATGAAAAGAATAATAAAAACCTACAGCAGATGGAAACATTTAGTATTTGATTACAATCCCTAAATTTATTATTTATAATAATTAACTATAATTTTATAATGGGCATAATTATAAAATTATAGTTAGACATAGACTTAACATAGTTAAGTCTAAGTAATCCTTAGACTTTTTCAAAACGAAGCTCAAAACGTCAAGGATAAATAAGGCACTAGAGGCTTCCTCTTCAAGTCCATGTTCTCCCTGGAACATAGATTTCACTAGCTTGTCTTAACGTTTCTTTGCTTGTCCATTTCCACTCTACAGAAACCTATGTTCTCTCTCAAACATGTACTTTTCCCCTCACATCTTCTAAGTAAGTTTCAATAAAACTTTCATAAATAAATAAATATGGTGATAGATACTATAGAGCTCTTCCCAAGAGCACTGCTCCAGTCTTAAATACAACCTTAGAAACACTTTTTAAAAATCTTATTTACTCCCCACTTTACAGATTACAAAATTAACCCTCTGAGGCCAACCCTGGTTACATCCACGGCACTTTATTTAGTCCCCCAAACCCCAATGAGAGTGATTCCTGACCAAAGAAGCAGGAGTAAGCCCTGAGTACAGCTGGGTGCAGCCGAAAAGCAAAACCAGAACCACCCCCCCAAAAAAATAATAATCCATTATAGAGATTAAGTATATCTCTTAAATATGTAATAGCTTCCTTTTACAGCACAAACCACTGTCTTTAAGGTACCATACTATGACTCCTCAAAAATAAAACAACACAAAACAAGATGTACATGAAAAAAGGCCCACTGCCTCTCTTAGAGTCAGGGTGAACAAAGTTTTCTCAATTTCTTTTCCAGAAACAGTAGAACGTTTTATTAATCAGCTTAACTATCAGAAAACGCTACCATGCAGTAAATTACAACCCAGGCCCAACAGACAATACAAGGAGTAAGATACTTGCCTTGCCCTGAGAACTCAGCACAGATGTGACCAGAAAAATAAACAAATAAAATACAATCTATAGAATTTTCTATGACAATTACTGTTAAGGTCAAAATCAAATGAATTACATCTATCATAAACAAAAGAATAAGAGATAATAGGTAGAGAGCTAAAAAATAAAGTTTGTAACAAAGTTTCTCTAAGACAAGAAAATATCATAAATAGGATATATGCAAAAATTTCTTAAACAAGAACAAAAACTGAACTTCATAAAGTTGCACTTTAAAAAATCAAAATTTTGGCTATAGATAAAATATTCTCAATGCATATGTTCAAAATATGTTGGAATACTGTCTGAAATCCAATCATGAACAGCTTTGTAAGGGTCTATCTCACAGTGATTCAATAAAAATATTTTTTAAAAGTATGTACACAAAAGGAACCTTAAAAAACCAAGAAAATGACAATCCAAAATTTCACAGGGAAATTTCAAAACCCAATGAATATACTGAAGACTCTCACCATCACTAATTACTATGAAAATATTGCATATGTAATGCAACGAAATACTATTAGCCACTACAATGACTAGCTGCTTGCCTTGAGCTGTGGGTATTTTCACACGTTTGTCTCCACATCAACACTACGAGGAATGGGATGAAAAATCATAGTGTGTCCATTCCCTGAACAATTCTCAGGGGCTGAGCACCATTTGGACAAACATTAGATGACACATCAAAAGTTTACAAAAACTTTCCTCAGTTTCAGAGGGTTTCATCCTTAAGGGTCAGCCCTGGCAGAGATCATGCCAAACCTTCCTGTTATCCCAGAATTATAAGGATTCTAAAATGCTGAAACAACCTGGCCCCACACTTTCCACCCTTCCTCAAGCCCCTTTAACACCCCTCCCTTTAATATCAGCTTCTAATTCACATACTGTTTATTCTAACTAGAAGATTCAATGAAAAACACCTCAAAAATTACAGTAATTTTGGGAGGGGGGCAATATTTTATATGAGAAAAACTGTTCGCAAGGGAGGCTTGTTAGAACAAATAGAAAACGAGAAGGGAAAAAAAATTTCCCTCAAAAGAAACTTTTCTTATATTCCTTTAGGAAGGAGAAACCTCTGAATGGAAAAAGAGACCTTCCTAGGAGTAACACATCTCAGCAAACAGAAAAGACTAAGAAACAGAGCAGGATCCAATTTAGGGTTCCTTAAAGCTGATCCTATCCCAGCAGATCCCATTCCAAACCTCCAGAACCTAGAGTGATGCATTGCTGTCTGTGATTTCTACCACCTTTGAACATGTACTAAAACTTCATGCAATGGAAATGCCTCAAATCAAGTGGGTTATGATTTAAAGGATCTGTAACGGGTATTTGAAAGAAAACAGAAAAGCAAAACTACATATTACAGATGTATGATCTGAATAGTTCAAATATCATCTCAATGATATCTATTTTTATTCACATTTTTATTTATAAAAGGCAGTCTTACTTTGAGCAGATCAACAAACATCAAAATTAACTGCTTGTAAATGGCTTTTATGTGCTCATGACTCAGGAAACAAAGCTCCTTTTCAAATATGACACATTCCTATAGAAATCAAAGCAAATTATATCTACAAATTGAAGGAGCTGACATATATAGTTTTTTTTGACATATATAATTTTTAAACAGGAGTCACCAGACCAGGACCACACCTGCTGGGGCCTTGTGACACTAGAGAGAGAATCCTATTACATGTATGAAAACAAAAAGGAAAATTACATGATAAGATTTTCCTCCTCTTACAGTGCCAAGTTAAAATTCTCTTACTGATATAGTGCTTGAAGAATTTTATCATGGTTATGGAAAATATTTTTCGTTAACAGCATCAACACCTATAATACCTTTTTTGAAATGTTATGATAAAAATAGGAATAAATGAAATTTACATCTCACCTGGTAGTGCTCAGGGGTCTTCCTGGCAGTATTTGAGGATCACATGGCACTGATCCCAGAATCAAAGACAGGCCTCCCACACAAAGCATGTGCTCAGCCCTTTGAGCTATCTCTACTCTCCATTTCTTATTTTTTTTATTTTTGTTTAGTTTGGGGGACACACTGGCTGTGCTCAGGGCTTACTCCTTGCTCTGTGCTCAGAGATCACTCCTTGTGGTGCTCAGGGGACCATATTCGGTGACAGAGATTGAACCCAGATCAGTTGCACAAAGGATAAGCTCCCTACCAACTGTACTATCTCTCCAGTCTATCTTCACTATTTTTAAGTGTACAATTTAATGGCATTGACTACATATAGCACTACGCAACCAGTACGATTATTCTTTTCCAGACTTTTATACCATCATCCCACACAGAAACTCTATGCCTATTAACCTCAACCCTCTTTGCCTCTAGGCTCTGTAACTTCACTTACCTGTAGCTCTATAATTCTGCCTACTGGTACCTCATACAAGTAAAATATAGTATTTGTATTGACCTTCAGGTTTGCCCTGCTAATACTGTTTATAATGTACAATCTGTGTTTACCAATGCCAGAATTTTATTCCTTTTTAAGGCTGGAGCGATAGCACAGCAGGTAGGGCATTTGCCTTGCAGGCAGCCAACCCGGGTTCGGATTCCTCTCAGAGAGCCTGGCAAGCTACCGAGAGTATCCCGCCCACACGGCAGAGCCTGGCAAACTCCCCATGGCGTATTCAATATGCCAAAACTATAAAAATAAGTCTCACAATGGAGACATTACTAGTGCCCACTTGAGCAAATCAATGAACAATGGGAGAACAGTGCTACAGTGACAGTGACAGTGCTTTAAAGCTGAATAACATTAGATATATTCTTCATTTGTTTATGCATCATGGATACTAGGGTACCTTCAACTTTTCTTGGTTATCATGAATAACCAAGAAACAGCTGCAAATGGTATCTGTGGCCCTGATTTTAATTCTTTTGAGGATATAGTCAAAAGAGAATCACTGGATAATACATTATGTCTGTTTTTAACTTT